GAGCTGATGAGATTATGCATACAAGTTCTTAAAAAATCTAAATTATTGACACCCCTAGATATGTAAATACATTTTGAAAATACCCTCTGTAAAAAATTTTATTCCAGAACTGAGTGAGTATAAATAAGCAAATAAAATTTTGATTTCATATTTAAAACTGAGACAACTCAAATCTTTTAGTGTGTTTTAAAATATTATAAAATCAGGATAAAATGTTTGCCAAAAACAACCTGTTAAAACTGTTATTACATCCATATGACATTAATGAGCCAAATCATGACAAAACCAATGTAATGCATTTGAGAGCAGTCTAATCAGGATCCATGCTGTTCGCTTTACAAACCCTATTACAAGAAGAGAAACTGATAGCGAACAGCATGGATCCTGATCAGACTGTGCAGATGCGCAGGCTGGTCTGGATCCATTCTGGTCGCACACCCACTGTGTTGGTTTTGTCATGACGCGACTCATTTATCTTAAAATATAAGAATAAAATTTCTAAGACATTTTCAAATAAAATTTTTAAGACATTTTCAAATAAAATGCATAAAAACCACTTTATTTTGTTCTAAAATAATAAATCATTGGATACAAAATTACTTCCATAATTATCATATTATACAGGTGAAAGAAATACAAAACTTTGATTAACTTTTCACTAAATAATTTTATATATCAGACAGATTCTAAAATTTCCTTTACATTTCATACAGGTAACTCTCTTCTCAAATATTTTTTATAAGTCTACATTTCTTCCAACAAATAAGCATACAATGTAGACTAGTATGAAAAACAAGAGGGCCATGATGGCCCTGAGGTCGCTCACCTGTATATAGGCCCCCCCCCCCCCCGGGCCAATTTTTTACCCAAGGGCTTTTATTTGTTTATTTCAACAAACTTGGTAGATACCCATAAGAAGATGTTTCATGCTAAACATCTAAGTTCTAGCTCATTGGGTTTTTTAAAAGAAGATTTTTTAAGTTTTTACTATACACATATAGTTAAAAACAATGACACCCCTGGGGCAGGGCCAGTTTTGACCCCCGGGCTTTTATTTGAACAAACTTTGTAGATATTTACTTAAAGATGTTTTATGCTTAATATCTAAACTCTAGCTATTTGGGTTTTTTCAAAGAAGATTTTTAAGTTTTTGCTATACACATATAAGGAAAATCAATGACCCCCGGGGCGGGCCAGTTTGACCCCAGGGCTTTTTATTTGAACATACTTGGTAGACACCCATTAGAACATGTTTCATGCTAAATATCTTAGCTCTAGCTCTTTGGGTTCTTTAAAAGAAGATTTTTTAAGTTTTTACTATATGCATATAGGGAAAATCAATGACCCCCTGGGGCGGGGCCAATTTTCATCCAAGGGCTTTTATTTCAACAAACTTGATAGACATTCACTAGAAGATGTTTCATTGCCAAATATCTAAGCTCTAGCTCTTAAGGTTCTTTAAAAGAAGATTTTTTAAGTTTTTACTATATGCATATAGGGAAAATCAATGACCCCCTGGGGCGGGGCCAATTTTTGACCCCAGGGTTTTTATTTGAACAAACTTGGTAGACATTCACTAGAAGATGTTTCATGCCAAATATCTAAGCTCTAGCTCTTACAGTTCTTTAAAAGAAGATTTTTAAGTTTTTACTATATGCATATAGGGAAAATCAATGACCCCCCGGGCGGGTCCAATTTTGACCCCAGGGCTTTTATTTGAACAAACTTGGTAAACACTCACTAGAAGATGTTTCATGCCAAATATCTTAGCTCTAGCTCTTTGGGTTCTTTAAAAGAAGATTTTTTAAGTTTTTACTATATGCATATAGGGAAAATCAATGACCCCCTGGGGCGGGGCCAATTTTGACCCCAGGGTTTTTATTTGAACAAACTTGGTAGACATTCACTAGAAGATGTTTCATGCCAAATATCTAAGCTCTAGCTCTTCTTACAGTTTTTTAAAAGAAGATTTTTTAAGTTTTTACTATATGCATATAGGGAAAATCAATGACCCCCCGGGGCGGGGCCAATTTTGACCCAAGGGCTTTTATTTGAACAAACTTGGTAGACACTCACTAGAAGATGTTTCATGCCAAATATCTTAGCTCTAGCTCTTTGGGTTCTTTAAAAGAAGATTTTTTAAGTTTTTACTATATGCATATAGGGAAAATCAATGACCCCCTGGGGCGGGGCCAATTTTGACCCCAGGGTTTTTATTTGAACAAACTTGGTAGACATTCACTAGAAGATGTTTCATGCCAAATATCTAAGCTCTAGCTCTTACAGTTCTTTAAAAGAAGATTTTTTAAGTTTTTACTATATGCATATAGGGAAAATCAATGACCCCCCGGGGCGGAGCCAATTTTGACCCCAGGGCTTTTATTTGAACAAACTTGGTAGACACTCACTAGAAGATGTTTCATGCCAAATATCTTAGCTCTAGCTCTTTGGGTTCTTTAAAAGAAGATTTTTTTAAGTTTTTACTATATGCATATAGGGAAAATCTATGACCCCCTGGGGCGGGGCCAATTTTGACCCCAGGGCTTTTATTTGAACAAACTTGGTAGACACTCATTAGAAGATGTTTCATGCCAAATATCTAAGCTCTAGCTCTTAGGGTTGTTTAAAAGAAGATATTTAAAGATTTTTCTTTCGGTTGCCATTGCAACCAGAGTTCTGCATGGAATTAAATTCTTTGAACAATTTTTAAAGGTGACCACCAAAGGAACATTCCTGTGAAGTTTGTATGAAATTGGCTCAGTGGTTTATGAGGAGATGTCATTTAAAGCAAAAGTTTACGGACGGACGGACGGACGTCTGGCCGAAATGGAATAAAGGGCCATTTCTTTTGTTATTTTCTATTGTTTAATAGAGGGCCAATGGCCCCTTACTCTATTGTTACGGAATGAACTCTATTGTTCTCTTTTGTTCTGTTTACAGTTAGATGGCCCCCTATCCTTATTCGGTAGTGCGGACGGACGGACGCCGGACGAAAAGCGATCACAAAAGCTCACCCTGTCACTTTGTGACAGGTGAGCTAATAACGTAAATAGGTCTATCATATAACTTGAAGGCAGATGAATTAAAAATTAATTAAAAATATGAATTATAAATTAAAGAAAAAAGAAAATATCTAAAATGTTGATATTGGCGTTTTTTAGGTCTGGATCCAAAATAAGATTAACAAGAGGGCCCTGAGGTCGCTCACCTGTATATAGCCCCCCCCCCCCCCCCCCCCCCCTCCAACGTTGCAGGGCCAATTTAACCCAAGGGCTTTTATTTGCACAAACTTGGTAGACACCCATAAGAAGATGTTTCATGCTAAACATCTCAGCTCTAGCTCATTGGGCTTTTTAAAAGAAGATTTTTTTTAAGTTTTTACTATACACATAATTATAGTTAAAAACAATGACACCCCTGGGGCCGGGCCAGGGCTTTTATTTGAACAAACTTTGTAGACACTTACTAGAAGATGTTTCATGCTTAATATCTAAACTCTAGCTATTTGGGTTTTTTCAAAGAAGATTTTAAGTTTTTGCTATACACATATAAAGAAAATCAATGACCCCCGGGACGGGGCCAATTTTGACCCCAGGTCTTTTATTTGAACAAACTTTGTAGACACTCACTAAAAGATGTTTCATGCTTAATATCTTAACTCTAGCTATTTGGGTTTTTTTCAAAGAAGATTTTTTAAGTTTTTGCTATACACATATAAGGAAAATCAATGACCCCCGGGGTGGTGCCAATTTTGACCCCAGGGCTTACACATATTAGGAAAATCAATGACCCCCGGGGCGGTGCCAATTTTGACCCCAGGGCTTTTATTTAAACAAACTTGGTAGACACCTATTAGAACATGTTTGATGCTAAATATCTTAGCCATAGCTCTTTGAGTTCTTTAAAAGAAGATTTTTTAAGTTTTTACTATATGCATATAGGGAAAATCAATGAACCCCCGGGGCGGGGCCAATTTTGACCCCAGGGCTTTTATTTGAACAAACTTGGTAGACACTTATTAGAACATGTTTCATGCTAAATATCTTAGCTCTAACTCTTTTGGTTCTTTAAAAGAAGATTTTTTAAGTTTTTACTATATGCATATAGGGAAAATCAATGACCCCCTGGGCGGGGCCAATTTTGACCCCAGGGCTTTTATTTGAACAAACTTGGTAGACACCTATTAGAACATGTTTGATGCTCAATATCTTAGCCATAGCTCTTTGAGTTCTTTAAAAGAAGATTTTTTAAGTTTTTACTATATGCATATAGGGAAAATCAATGACCCCCCGGGGCAGGGCCAATTTTGACTCCAGGGCTTTTATTTGAACAAACTTGGTAGACACCCATTAGAACATATTTCATGCTAAATATCTTAGCTCTAGCTCTTTGGGTTCTTTAAAAGAAGATTTTTTAAGTTTTTACTATATGCATATAGGGAAAATCAATGACCCCCCAGGGCGGGGCCAATTTTGACCCCAGGGCTTTTATTTGAACAAACTTGGTAGACACTCACTAGAAGATGTTTCATGCCAAATATCTAAGCTCTAGCTCTTATGGTTTTTTAAAAGAAGATATTTAAAGTTTTTTCTTTCGGTTGCCATGGCAACCAGAGTTCTGCATGGAATTAAATTCTTTGAACAATTTTTAAAGGTGACCACCAAAGGAACATTCCTGTGAAGTTTGGATGAAATTGGCTTAGTGGTTTATGAGGAGATGTCATTTAAAGTAAAAGTTTACGGACGGACGACGGACAGACGCCGGACGAAAAGCGATCACAAAAGCTCACCCTGTCACTTTGTGACAGGTGAGCTAAAAATTGAGATTCTAGGATAAAAGGTGTCATTACGACCTTTCATACAATACGATAATGAAAATGAGGCGGTTTCCACGTGTTATGATATTATGTAAGATTCTGCATTACAAACATTTATTTTTATTTAAATTCAGTGCCATACATGACACAGATTCTTCATTACTTAAAAAAAATGTAAAAAAAGACACAGAAAAAGATAAAATAACTGGTACTTCATATGGAAAGAAATGTATGCAATGCTCAGTACAACATATTGAGCAATATACATGTATATGTGATATTTAGCCATTGAACACTATATTGTTTACTATTTCACCTTCTCATCAAGCAAAAGAAGAATGATGAGCTTTCAATAATTGTAAACCAATGAAAATATACAAAGAACGCCTAAACATTCCATAAATAGTTAAAAAGAAAAAGACAAAAGAAGGCCCTATACAAGGACACAAATAAACATCTATTGCTTGCCTTTAGTTGTTTTGTTTTTTTCACAACCACTAATCAAAAAGTAAAAATGTTTTAAAAGAAAAAACTCCTATGCCCTTGAATAAGGACCTTCTAAAAGACACATGAATGTTATGTGTATACTAAAGCACCATAAATTAGGAAAAAAATAAACTAACCTGGTAATGTATAAATATATCATATTCAAAGCACCATAAATAATAATTAACCATAATCAACAATTTAATAAATCACTTCAAAACTGACAAAATTATCTAAGTGATTATTTCTACAAAATAGACGAGAAAATCGCATGATGTTTAATAGAAACTAATTGGATTGGCATTTAATTGGATCATATTTCAATCAAGATATCAGCTAAATTGCGTGACACTTTAAAGAAATTATTAATTTGACTAGAAGGAAAGAGGTAAATATTATAAGAAAATCATGAAGATCAAAAAAAAAGAAGAAAAATTGAAATCTCTCATGGCATAGATAAAGCTTTGTTAGATTCTAATCTTTTACCATATATATCATTTTGAACACAAAGCAATCTGATAAAAAAAACTTACTTATAAGAACTTACTTTCTTTTAATTTTTATTTCTCAAAGTTTTTTTTTTCAATTTTGTTGTACTTTTATAGTATCCAAAAAAAATTACTAATTCAGTAGTTGGCAAATCACCAGAACCAGTTCATTCATCTGTTACTTTTTGGCAATAAGTACAGTTATAGTAAATAAGTATTTTATACAGAAGTAAAAAAAAAACTATTTTGTTTACATTTTGTTGCTTTTATCATGAATCATTTCACATTTATTGCTTCTTTATTCAGGTAATAAGCATCTAACATTCTCTAAAACCAATTTTATTACATTATAAAACTCACATTTGCCCTTTCTAAGGAAGTAAAAATTTATTTGTTTCTGAGGCATAATGTGCCTTTAACTCAAATTATCAGTTAATCTACATCTGTTACTCAAGAAATGCCTAACTTCTTCCTGGCATTTTCAAATAATTCTCTTTCTCCCAAGAAGACATCTTCATTCGACATCTAATTCCCACGAGCTATTATGTGACCTGAGGTTTGTTTCCAAACAATTGAATTAAACTTGATATCCTTACACCATCATCTTGCAGAAGATTGTTTTCCTACAGTTTTATCTAACTTCAATCCATTTTAACATAGAACATTTTCTCACTAGTGAATTTTCTGTGATAACTAAAGTAGTTGTGGCTCTTTGATGTTTTATGTGGTAAAAGCTAGTAATCTAAAAAGTGGTTAAATTTGTTATTTGATAAAGTGATGTTAACTTGTTCATTCTTAGTGGTATAATTTGTTAATTTCCATAAAACTGGGTTATATGTTAACAATTTGTTCATCTTTACAGTGGTTCAAGTTTTCTTTTTTTTAAGTGGTAGAAATAAACCAATCCTTACAGTGGTACAAGTTTTCTTTTTTTTAAGTGGTAGAAATAAACCAATCCTAACAGTGGTACAAGTTTTCATTTTTTTGAGTGGTATAAATAAATAAATCCTTACTGTGGTATACATTATCAATGATTCAATCCTTATAGTGGTATAAATTTTCATTCTTTGAGTGGTATAGATAAACCAATCCTGACAGTGGTATAAAATTTACAACCCTTTTAGTGGTATAAATAAATCAATCCTTCTAAAGTGGCATACAGTTTTCAATGTTGACAGTGGTATAAATATATTTATCCTTACAGTGGTATAAGACTATAATTTAGGATTTTCAATGTTATTAATCTATCAATCCTTAAGGTAGTATAAATTATCAATCTTTTCAGTGATATATTAATAATTATCATATATTATCATAATATGAATATATATGATTCCTTTAAGTTAGTAAGTTATCAAGCCTTACATATGTATAATTTATCAGTTGTTACTGTGGTATATGGCTGGCACTGGCACTTTTTGTTCAAGAACAGATACTGTTCATAAAAGTTTATTGAAATGTGTTGTCTTCAACAATCACAGGTATATTACCTCGACACAATTTCACAGTTGCTCATTTCAAATATACATCCATGCCAAGGACTAAATAATACTCTATAACAATGAAGAATGTTTCATGCCTTAAAATTGTCAAGTTTCTCTCAGCCCCTAACTACGGCCAGCCATCCTCAAACTCTATACAGATTGGTGAGAAAATTTTCTCTGTATTTTTTCCTCAAACTATGACCATGGCCAGTTTTTGTATTTCTTGGCTAGAGACTTAGGTTTCCTCATTTTGGTAAGAACAATTGGCGAGGGTGTATCGTCCTCATACGGGTAGGTATTCTCCTTCTGTAATATAAAAACATAATTATCAATTATCAACATATTAATATCTTACACAGAATTACATTAAGAAATATATTGTTCAATTTCATATTATTGGATATGTTTTATTGTGATATGATTTGCCTCCCTTTGAATATGAAACTAATAATAGTTTCAATATGAAAATATTAATGTGGGAAGCCAACACTGGAAAGTCTGGATAGCTTTCCTAAAACATGTATGACAGACAATAAGCCGTTTATGTTGGTCACCGATTGGCAACAAAAACTGAATATAATCTGTGACAAAAAAAATTAACCATTTTTATCCTGTACAGAAAAAAAGCTATTTTCCACAGATAAATTTAATAAATTTTTTTATCTGTGACCAAAAAAAAATAAGCCATTCTATCTGTGACATAAAAATATGCCAGTATTTTATCTGTTTCAGAAAAAGAAGCAATTTTATCTGTGACTGAAAAAGAAGCGATTTATCATGATAGAAATTAGCCATTTTATATGTGACAGCAAATTTGCCATTTCATGAGTGACAGAAAAATAAGCCATTTTATCTGTGACAGAAAAATAAGCCATTTTTACTGTGACAGAAAAATAAGCCATTTTATCTGTGACAGAAAAGTATACCATTTTATCTGTGACAGAAAAATAAGCATTAAATACACTGTGACAGGATGTTAGTCATTTATATATGACATAAACTTAGCCATTTATCTGTGATGAAAAATCAGTTTAAAACTTGCCTATATTTTTTTTCAGTTTACAAACTTCTTAAACTTACCTGGTTAAGGATTGGTCTAGTTTTCACTGGCGTCTTTCTAGGTGTATGTCTGTACAAGTCCATCTCACTGATAGTCTGACCCCAACTGATCCGTGATGCTTCTTTAGGTGCTATTGTAAAATTTACAAGTATAAAATGATTTATCAAAGCAAAGAACCTAGCCAGAAAACATAGTCCATATTATGTTTGTATAAAACTTTTTACCTCATTTTCTTTTTTGCATGGTTTTTAAAACACACCAACATTGTCAAGGTCACATGGTGACTTTTCAGCTTTACTTGTGGAGGAAGACCGTGAAAATCCAATGTTTTAAGGCAAGCTTCGACTTCTGATTAGATTAATTAACCTTCGTCACATGGAAGAATTCAATGTCCATTGAGAGATTTAAACTCAGGTAGGTACAAGGTAAATGTTTCATTCTCCACCTATTTTTTTATTTTAAATCTTCATAAAATTAATTACATATCACTTGTCAGAAAATTGACATAGAATCCCTGACATTTGCCCTCCAGTGGAAATCTAAATGAACTTACCCATCTTTTAATTTGGACAAAACGACTGATCTTTTTTAAGATAAAAATTTCAAAAATATGTATACATAATTTACCTTCTGAATACAAATTTTATCAGTGCAGATCATGATCAGAAGGCACAGATATGCTGGCTAAACTTGATCTACACTGATCACATTGGCACAATCTGTTGCTGCCAGCAAGCAAAGGGTCTTCCAGCAAAGCTTGTGTTCAGAAAAACAGTAAAACAGGTACTTACGAGGGTAATATTTGACAACACTCTGTGACTCGTCCATCGTTAGACATCTAACTCTTCTCTGACCATTCTGTGCCGTATGTAACAACGTCAAGTGATCAAAACTCTTGTCATTCTGAAATATAATGAGGTATCTACATGTATAAAATCACCAAATTAAAATCCTAAAATGGTCACTTTTATGTTAGCATATAGGCATCTTTTGGATAGTTCTAGTAGATGAAAGCCCTGACATTTGTACCCAATTGTTTCAGGCATGATTAAGCACCCAAGTGCAGCCATTGGCAAGAAGATTCCTCACATTCTGGGAATTTGATGACAAGGTTTGACTGTATTTTGATACAATAGGCCAAAATTGATGTCATACAGTCTTGTGTATAAAATCTTGAATTAGTTTGGATGAAATTCAAACTTTTACAATTATGTCACATTGCCATTCAATGGAAAATAAAACAGTGTCATTTTGTTAGTTTCACCTTTTACATGTACAGTCAAAATTGTCTTAAGCAGCTAGCAAAGAGATACTGTCTTTTTGGCTGCTTAAGACAGGTGGCTGTTGAATGGAGGAACAAATTTTTATCGAAATATATCATTTATGTATTTTATAAAATAATATTCTATGCTATCCTTATTTACTAAATTGTGTAAATTAAATCTAACTTATATTATAAAAAGAGTAATCTTATTCATCATCATCATCATTATCATCAACATCATTATCATCATCATCATTATCATCATCATTATCATCATCATCATTATCATCAACATCATCATCATTATCATCATTATCATCATCATCAACATCATCAACATCAGCATCATTATCATCATCAGTTGTTAATCATTCACAAACATATGCCATGAATGATTTAACATCCAACATGAAGCTTCACATGATGTAACACAGATAAACAAATGCACTCACAATTAATAATGTCATTATTTGACACTAATTATCCCACAAAAATATTAATCTTCTTGAACAATAATTAAACATGCATAATCTTTTCTTCAAAAAAAAAATCATGACAGTTTTGATCAATAAAACAATGTGTGAAAGTCATCTAAGTTTCTGCACTTCCTTTGATGTTTCAGATTAAACTGCTTAGACTACATGTTTGTGTACATCAAAGAATCTTTTGAATTTCATATGTAAACTGTATGCTTGTAATTTAACAATGACAACATTATATTCCTGTACAATTTGTTATTTTATTTTCACAATATGTATTATGACTAATGAATTTATACAATCGGCGATGAAATTCATTTCCATTTCTTTGGTAAGTATAACCATCTGCATCAAATTTATCAGAATTGGGATAAACTGATAAAACGGAATACAAATCATCACTCTGGCAATGCCTTTTTTCTTCTTTAAAAAAATTCAAATTAAAATAAATCGGTAAATTGAAAAAAACAAAAACGCAACTAGCGTTACTCAATAAAATGGACTTCAAGTGCTTGCAGACGTTCCAATTAGAATGGTTCGTTCATAATTACACGGGTGAGCACTTGTACAAATTTCTTGAAATTTTGTGGTTTGTGTTAATATAAAAAAATACAATGTTTTTCCATGGAAAATTAAAGCAGTATCTCTTTGTAAACTTCATCTTTTACATGTATATTTTACAATGTTTTTCCATGGAAAAATAGAACTGTTACAGTAATTTTTTTTAGATTCACCTTTTACATGTACTCGTATATGTTGCACTGTTTTTCCATGGAAAACGGTACCTTATCTTTCTTGTAAAATTCAAAGGAAAGTCTTATCTTTCTAATTAACTTATCTTTATAAAAGCTACCTTCATGTCTTGATTTTAATTAGACTTTTGTGTGTGCTAATCTTTCCTAATTGGAAAACATCAGCTCCATTTCTCCAAAAAATTCTCTCTATCTCTCTTATTGATAATCAATTAACTTTGTTCATATCCGACATTAGCCAAATCAAATAAAACAACTTGATGGCAAATGCCCTGTATATTAGTGCATTATTGTAGAATACAAATATTATCTTTCTGTGTGTAACAAAAACTCGAGCAATTAGAGGCTATAACCCACATAGAATTGACTGTCTATGCAGTACCCACAAGGGAGAATTATAGTTTTCCCATATATAGTGCCAACATATTAGTGCCAAGTTGTCAAATTGATTTTTTTTCTACAGAATCTGTCAGTCAAATGTCTGTTGAACTCAGATCAATTCCTCTACTATAATGAGAAAGCTTTTTTTCCCCCTTTCTATAAGCAGACAATCTCTGATGGCTTTTTCATCTATAAGCTAGAACTAGGTCAACCGTGTTACAGATTTTCACTATTTGATCTTCCATTAGAGTTGTGAAATCAGAACACTAACTTAACATACTATGGTCCTGATGGCAAAAATTAAAAAGGATTGTGTTCATGTGTTTTTTTCATTTCTATGTAGTATTTATAAATTAAATTAGCACTTACATAACTGTGTCAGTTGGGGCCATCATGGTGCTATGTTTTAACCCTTACAGCCACTATATAACACTTTATAATACTGCACATTTGTAGCGTCACTTTTCATTGGATAATTGTGACGTTTATATAGTTTTATATACACGGCTGCTGTCGATTCATGAAGAAATCTTACTTTTTTCTCTATAAAATGGTGTGTGCTGTAATATAAATTCGTATAAACTGCTGTTTGCAATATAACCCTCACCTAGCAGCTCAGGTTATATTAACAAATAGCCGTTTATATAGGGCCATGTAACCTGTCAACAATCTTTATAACTAATAATATACATGTATGGACTTGTCCATCTTTCAATCTGGACAAAATCATTTATCATTTAAGGGAAAATTTCAATTGAATACAGACTGAATAGTGAACCATGATCTTTGTCTGCACTTAAGGGTCTTAACAAATGGCAGATTTCTGTTTTGTGAAAATAATCACATAAACTGTAAAGGAAGATGTACTAAAAATACCATATTTCTAGTATACTTGTTAAGTTATGCATAATGGATGCACTGATTTTTAAGGCCTAATTTGTCCGTGACAATTAATAATAATAAGAGGATTGTACTAATAATATTTAGAGTACTTGTTGTATGCATAATGGTTGCATTGATTTTATAGTGTAATTTCTCTCTGACAACTGATCTCATACATTGACTGTAGCGGACTAACGGTCATTTGTCTCTCAACGCTGATTAATAAAATCATGTGGGTTGGTCACTTGTGGAGAAACTGGTAATCACTGGTAAGTTTTACAGGAAAATTAAGATATGTGGATTGACCAAAAAGATGTGACAAAAAAAGAAACATGTTTTAAAATCAGCAATATGGCTGCATGCCTCCTGATGAGCCAAAATATTTAAAGAAAATCAAACTGAAGAAGTGTGTTCTTATAATGATTTTAAGAAAAGTTAAACCTGTTAAACACAAGTCTGACTGTTTTTCTTATAAACTTAACCAGTAAGACACAAGTCTGACTGTTTTTCTCATTAACTTAACCTGTAAGTCACAAGTCTGACTGTATTTCTCATTAACTTAACCTGTAAGACACAAGTCTGACTGTATTTCTCATTAACTTAACTTGTAAGACACAAGTCTGACTGTATTTCTCATTAACTTAACTTGTAAGACACAAGTCTGACTGTATTTCTCATTAACTTAACCTGTAAGACACAAGTCTGACTGTATTTCTCATTAACTTAACTTGTAAGACACAAGTCTGACTGTATTTCTCATTAACTTAACCTGTAAGACACAAGTCTGACTGTATTTCTCATTAACTTAACTTGTAAGACACAAGCCTGGCTGTATTTCTCATTAACTTAACCTTAAGACACAAGTCTGACTGTATTTCTCATTAACTTAACCTGTAAGACACAAGTTTGACTGTATTTCTCATTAACTTAACATGTAAGACACAAGTCTGACTGTATTTCTCATTAACTTAACTTGTAAGACACAAGCCTGGCTGTATTTCTCATTAACTTAACCTTAAGACACAAGTCTGACTGTATTTCTCATTAAATTAACCTGTAAGACACAAGTTTGACTGTATTTCTCATTAACTTAACATGTAAGACACAAGTCTGACTGTATTTCTCATTAACTTAACTTGTAAGACACAAGTCTGACTGTATTTCTCATTAACTTAACTTGTAAGACACAAGCCTGGCTGTATTTCTCATTAACTTAACCTTAAGACACAAGTCTGACTGTATTTCTCATTAACTTAACCTGTAAGACACAAGTTTGACTGTATTTCTCATTAACTTAACATGTAAGACACAAGTCTGACTGTATTTCTCATTAACTTAACTTGTAAGACACAAGTCTGACTGTATTTCTCATTAACTTAATTGTAAGACACAAGTCTGACTGTATTTCTCATTAACTTAACCTGTAAGACACAAGTCTGACTGTATTTCTCATTAACTTAACTTGTAAGACACAAGTCTGACTGTATTTCTCATTAACTTAATTGTAAGACACAAGTCTGACTGTATTTCTCATTAATTTAACTTGTAAGACACAATTCTGACTGTATTTCTCATTAACCTGTAAGACACATGTCTGACTGTATTTCTCATTAACTTAACCTTAAGACACAAGTCTGACTGTATTTCTCATTAACTTAACCTGTAAGACACAAGTTTGACTGTATTTCTCATTAACTTAACCTTAAGACACAAGTCTGACTGTATTTCTCATTAACTTAACCTGTAAGTCACAATTCTGACTGTATTTCTCATTAACTTAACCTGTAAGACACAAGTCTGACTGTATTTCTCATTAACTTAACTTGTAAGACACAAGTCTGACTGTATTTCTCATTAACTTGTAAGACACATGTCTGACTGTATTTCTCATTAATTTAACTTGTAAGACACAAGTTTGACTGTATTTCTCATTAACTTTACCTTAAGACACAAGTCTGACTGTATTTCTCATTAACTTAACCCGTAAGACACAAGTTTGACTGTATTTCTCATTAACTTAACCTTAAGACACAAGTCTGACTGTATTTCTCATTAACTTAACCTGTAAGACACAAGTTTGACTGTATTTCTCATTAACTTAACCTTAAGACACAAGTCTGACTGTATTTCTCATTAACTTAACCT